ATTTGCTATCTTCCAGTAAGTATGCAAGCCTTCCCCAAAGGTCAAGCAGCTGTTTACCACTGCCATACTCTTCCTCATTTCCGGTTTGTCCTTGATGGTACTGATGACTTCTTCCCCCCCCCCATTTCACTTTTCCCACCCTGATGAGCTCAGGTGATGAAAATCAGCCCTTCATTTCAGGTAAGAGCAAGCACTTTCTGAAATGCAAGGGCACAGGAAGAGAGTTGGCTGAGTGCAAGCCCCCTCGGTTAGTGTATGTAAAGAGGAAGAGAGGGATCTGAAGGGTCCTTTGGAGATATGGAGAGTTTCAGTTTCTGCTTGAATACTGGAGCTGAGAAGACTGCCATCAACCAAGTGGAAAACTTTCAGGTCCAGAAGTAAGCATGTAACACAAGCAGCAAGGTAGTGTAGATTTGTGCAAAGGCTAGAGTCTGAGGCCAGGAGGAGCAGGAGGCAAGGCCAGAATGAAATAGCATTTCCTGTGCATTGGATTCAGGGCAAGAGTCAGAGATGAAAGGGAGGAAAGGGCAAAAGCAGAACCTGCTCCCAACTCTGGTTGTGATAGATGAAGCTAACACATAGTTAGGACAGCTACAAAGTGCCACCACATGGCTGGTAGTCTCAACAGTCCCAGAACAGAACTGTGATTGTGGCAGCTTCAAGGCAAATGTATCAGAATCCCTAAGTTCTTCTGGATGTTTATTCAATACGAAGTCAAAATTTTAAAACTTCATCTTTAATTGGGGCAAAATAACAATTCTTAGGCGTATCATGGCTGTGGTTTTCTGAATGTGTTTCCTGCTAATGCAAGATTGGAGTGGAAGAAACAGTCAAATGAGATACAAAACAATCAGCAGGATTCCAGTTCTCTTCTGCTCACAAGGGAATCTACACTTTCCAAATTCAGGGAGGAGAGAAGAGGCCCTTCCAGAGTTCTTTGCCAGTTCTGAGTCTATTTTGGCTCCCAAATAAACTTTGCTCTCCTTAAGCTGGCAGCCTTCAATTCCAATCTTCTGAGAAATGTACAGCATAGTTGGGGCTCCTTGGGGAACTGCTGTAGCCTCAAGGAAGCATTTGAAGTGTCCTCTGGAATGAGTCATTAGTTTAGAGTTAGTTTGAGATTTGTGGACCCTGGAGGGAAGGGCTTCACTCCTTGCCTCTAGATCTCTGCTAAGAGCAGAACAGGTGGTCAGTAAAAGTACAATTGAATGACTTGCTTCACTGAATGAAAAACCTAATTTTCACAGCAGTGTATCAAAGATGTGAGAGCAAAAGGTTAGCTATAGATTAAAAAGATACTTTAAAGGCATCTCAATGCTATGCATGGTGACACACAACTATAATCCTAGCAATGAAGAGGCTGAAACAGGAGGATCACAAGTTCAAGGCCAACTTGAACTGTAGACTAAAACATTGTTTCAAGATATAATAAAGGAACATTTCAAGTAAGGAAACAAAAGAACCTTGTTTGGATTTCTATTCAGACATTAAATAATGGAATAAATTGGAAATTCTGAAAACAAGTTATAGCATTAGGTAACTTTATGTATTCTGTAGTGGTTTTTTAAAAGTTTAAGTGTCATAATTTTAAAATATGTCTGGGGGCTGGCTGGAGAGCACTGTTTGCTTTTCCAGAGGACACAGGTTTAATTCCTAGTACTCACATGCTGGGTGACTCACCAACTGTCTGTAACTCCAGTCTCAAGGACCCAATATCCTCATCTGGTCTTTGTAAGGCACTGGATGTACATGGTGCACAGACATACATGGAGGTAAAACCCTGATACATATAAAAATAAAGATAATTTAATTAATTAATAATAAAGAAGGATTTTATTACAATACAGATTCCCTAGATGAGTTTGAAAAGTGAACAGATGAACCCATCTCTCCTTCAGCTACCATAAACTACAATGAAGAATGAAGACATGGTTACTCTTCATCTCGATCTCAGGACCAAAATGCTAATTTCTTCCTAAAGCCTTCTTTGGTCCCCTCCAAGCACAACTGATTTCTAATTCCTCTGGCCTCTTAGAATACATTGTACTTATCCATGTAACTCTTTACACATTGTCAGCTTTTGGTTCGTTGCAAATGTATTAGCTTTGATTCCTTTCCAACATCCTGGCTAGCTTAAGGCCTTAAGAGGGTATAAACAGACCGGTGATAGTGGCACATACCTTTAATCCTAGTCCTAGGGAGGCAGAAGTAGGTGGATCTCAGAGTTTGAGGTTAGCCTGGTCTACAGGATGAGTTCTAGGGACAGCCAGGGTACACAGAGAAACCCTGTCTCAAAAACAACAAAGGAAGCTATAAACACTGTAAGATTGGCACTTGTTGCTCTTGCAGAGGACCTGGGTTCAATTCTCAACACCCAGCCATCTGTAACTCCAGTGACCTCTTCTGACTGCTATGGTCACCAGACATGCATGTGTTGCACACACATATATGCACACAAATGACCTGAACATAATGAAATAAGCAAACCTTTAAAAAAGAAAGAAACTAAGCAAACCTGTAGAAGAATTCGAAGATTGGGAAAATTAATCCCAATTGGAAGATTGGGAAAATTGTGTAGATCTGTTCAGAAATTTTGAGAGGAGTCGTTTTTATGTTGGTTTGTTTTTCATTTTATGGTATTTGTCATTGTGAGTTCTTTTCCCTAAGTATTTGCCAATATGTTTCTGATATTGAATTGTCACCCCTAAATTTTTTTTAGCATTTCTTTCTTAAGAAAGGGGGCATTTTTCTATATGGGTACAATATAATTTTCACAACCAAGAAATTTAACTTTGTTAACTGCTATTTACTGTGCAGCTCATACTCAGTTTTTCCACTTGTCTTCATTCTGAGTACTTTTTGTATTCAGTGCTGGAAATTGAGTCTTTACAAATGTTAGGTAAGACTCCTACCACAAAGCTGTATGTCTAGCCCTTGAGCCCTTCAAAGCTTTTATTATTATTGTTATTATTTTTATTATTAATCCTAGTCCTAGGGAGTCAGAGGTAGGTGGATCTCAGAGTTTGTGGTTAGCCTGGTCTACAGAGTGAGTTCTAGGACCACCAGAGCTACACAGAGAAGTTCCCAAAAACAACAAAAGAAGCTATAAACACTGTAAGGTTGGCACTTGCTGCTCTTGTAGAGGACCTGGGTTCAATTTTATTTATTTTATTTTATTTTATTTTATTTTATTTTATTTTATTTGAGACAGAGTTTCTCTGTATATGCCTCGCTGTCCTGGAACTCACTCTGTAGACCAGACTGGACTCAAACTCTCAGAGATCTGCCTGCCTTTGCTTCCTGTGTGCCGGGATTGAACAAACCTGGACTGAAAGCTATTCTTAAATTCAGGTCCTCAGCAATGTTTATAGACTGTACTTGGTCTGTTTAGCCTCTTGTGCTGTAAAGTAACTCCCTAATTGTTCAGTTTTTCATAATACTGGCATTTTTATGCCAGCCTATATGTGTCTGAATGTTCCTTCATTTCTAGATTTGGGCTAGACCCAGATGCTTATGTGTTTTGCCAGATTGTCTGTCTGCGATGTTTGTGTTTGTGCATGTGTGCTTTACTAATGCCCTAAACATAGGTGTGCCATAGGAGTAATCACGGCTTCCATCACAGGCCTAGTGCAAGATGCTGTACTGTACTTGCTGAGAAGCACAGCTTTGATGCTCCAGTTGATTTTGTCCCCCTCAAAACTTACTTTCCACTTTACATTTGTGCCAGATCTAGGGAGGCGGCTTGTTTTGTGATAACTTTCATTTGTGTTGACTGCTGAAGAGTTTGAGGAGTTGTTTTAAACATTTAGTGGCCATTGGCATTTTCTATCCTTCAAAGAGGTCTGTTTATGCCTTTTGACCACATTTAAAGGTCATCTTATGTACTTTCATATGTTTGTGCATTGTAAGTTACAACATTTATTTTCTATTCTCAAAAGATTCATCTTTAATTTTAAATTGTATGTATGGAGGCAGTACGTGTGAGGGCAAAGACACTGGGTTACCCTGGAGTGGAGTTGTGAGCCACCTGACTTGGGTGCTGGGAATCAAACTCAGGTCCTCTTGGGGAGGTGTATTTACTCTTATCCACTGAACCATCACTCCAGATCCCGCTTTTTCTTTCTTCACTCTCATGAAATTTCCTCATATAAGATGAAATACATGTGTATTCTAGTGAAATGCTTGGGGTCCATATTTTAATACTGTCACTGTGTGACTCTAGACAAATGGTTTTAATTTTCTATTTAGTTTCCTGCCTGTAAGTTGGGGACAGTATGTACTTCCTAGGGCAGTAGGGGACTAATGAGTTTATGTATTACTGCAAGAGGTAAGTGTCATGGTACAGAGTAAAAGATGGGTAACCACTATCAGCTTCTTCAGTTTAGAGCTCCCCTATCACTTGAAGACCCAGAGAACTCATTCAAGTGCTTATCCTATAAAGAGGCTCCTGCTCCTTTCTCAACAATAACTGCCTTCCCATAACCATCGTCTATTCCTCCCTCACATCCTCTATCCCCAAACTTGGCTTTTCATGTAGTGCTTCAAAGGTAATAAACTCTCATAGTATAGGAAGATGCTTGGCAAATGGGTGTTAACTGAACTTATGGATGGGGAACTATGGAATGTTGCAGCATTCCTAAGTAGAGGTGATAAAAGGAAAAGAACGTTTAATGGCTAAGTGGACAGCTGATTGGCTGGTGCCCAGAATACATCACAATAGAGCCTCCAATTCAAGAAAGGCTTTCCTCAGGTAAAGTTAGTAGCTTTCCAGTCAGTGTAGCGACATGGCTTGAGAGCTAATGCTACCTATATTGAAGGTATGTGGGAAGAGCGGGGCCAACCCGAGCCCCGCCCTACCCCGCCCCCCGGGATCCCAGCCTCGCCCCCCGGGATCCCAGCCCCGCCCCCCGGGGTCCCAGCCCCGGCGGAGGCCAAGGCAGAAGCGGCGCCTGCGCCCTGCCGCTCAAGAACCTCCAGTGGTTCTCAGCTTCTCTCTGAAGATGGCGGACCCCACTTTTGCTGGTACCAGTAGCAGCATACCTTTGCGAGGTCTACGTGAACGCTTAGGTAAGTGCAATAGAGCATCTCCCCCGGGGGGACAGGGAACCTCATAGGCAGTGGGGTTGATGTAACCCCAGGAACCGGCAGAGTAGCGTGGCTCGGCAACTATTCTGTGGGGAGTCTTCCTCCTCCTCCCTGGTCTGTGATCCCCCTCATCTCTCTGAACACCTGAGGGCTGGAGCAAGAAAGATCAGAGTACCAGGGCATGAAGGGGAAACCATTGGCCAGTGTTGTCAACAGCCCAAAGACCACTGCCGGGCGGGTGAGCAGGCGGACTGGCGGGCGGGCGCCACCAAACCCTAACTCCAGCCCCGTCTGCATCGGGGACCAGTGATACCGGAGCAACTGCGGGAAAGCTCAGGGATGAGTGGACGCTGGCCCGTGCTGGGCACATCCACACTTTGGAGTTGCCCCGCCAGGATCGGAAAGTTTGGGTTTTCCCTGCATCCCAAGGTGTTGGCGTTTTCCAGGTCAAGGTCGAGGAAAGAAGGAACTGGCTGTCGCTTAGGGCTTAGAAAGTTGGGAAGAGACTTGACTTTGCAAAGTTGGCCTGCTATGGCTGAACTGAATGAGAATTAGCACCTAGTAATACTTTTTCCTCAACAGGTCCTATAATCAAAACCTTTTCCCTCTGGGGAGAAAAAAAGGTTGGTGGGGTGTGTTAATCTTTTGGCAGCACCTATTTAATTCAGGAAATTGTTTGAGGAGGTATTTCTTGCTGGTTGCTTTCCGCTTGCTGACAAGACTAGTTTCCCCAGATATGCCTGTGAATAAAATGATTTTGATTGCTATCGAAATCCTTAGGGAGTTTTCCCTTGTAATTAGATGTACATATATTCACTTAATGGGTTTTCTATGCGTTTTTAGTATGCTAATACTAACAATTTCTTTAACAAATCACATTTTATATTTTCTACACAAATGTTTTAACTTAAAACCGTTCAGCCAGATGAGCTTTAAAAACTGTGTGACTTAACTTGTTGCTTTTTTCCTTCCTAGTTTGTTTAAATTCACACATGCTTTCTCAGTTTAGAACACCTTATTCAAAAACTGGGATCTACAAATGCAGACAAAGCTAACTAAGACCGGGAGCCAGATTATCAGTGTTTTTAGAGCCAGAGAAACCTTAAAGTTAGTCTAGCAACCAGACTCCCAGACTCAGAAATCCTGAGTAGCTTCTACACCTTGAAGGTGTGCCCTACTGGGCAACCTGATATTGGTGTTCCTATTTAGAATGGTGCCGTCGGCTGGGAAGGGTGCTCTTCCCTCACAATGGCGGCTGGACACAAAGATTGCAGCCCTTTTCCACCAGCCTTTATCTTTCAGTAGCTATTTGTTCTCCTGGTCTCAACTGTTCCTCCAGCAGAGAAAAATTTAAAAACTATGTATTCTTTTTTAGAGAACAGATTCAAAAGAATGTGTGCTATTATACCAATCAGAAGTAATGTGTGCCACAAAAATACCAATAGGAAAATAGGAAGAGAGACAGAAGAATCTAATCTTTAAATCTAACTAGGTTATAGTTTATCTAAGCTGTTAGCTCCCTAGGACTTACAAGCAAATCCTTTTCTTTTCTGCAGTGGTTACCCCTTAAAATGAACCCGGGTAGCCCTTCCCCCATGCAAGCCAACATCCCAAATCCCATTCATTCTGTGAGCACTAGGGCAATCCCTCTAGTCCCTTAACTATTTGAACTATCTGTCTTGAACTGTTGTGCCTTGATAGTTAATAACCAGACTAATATGGTATGACCTAGGGATATATTTGCTGTGCTTTTGCACAAAAGTAAAAACAGTGTTCTCCAAGCCCTTGCCCAGGATTGAGGGGAATTTTAGATACAACCATCCATGGAATTCAAGGTTCAGGAATCCTCTCTAATCCATCTTAATGCACATCATTTTTTTCTTTCTCTCAATTTATATGTCATTTTACTAATGTTTGCTTGTCACTTTCCTGAATGTTGACAGAATATATATCAATTTATATTTATTTGCCTTACTTTTAAAATACTTTAAAAATACTGGCTGTCTTAGTATCTTCATAATGCATCAGAATAGAGCCTTGGGGGTGCTAAAAGCATGGAGGCTCCATGGGGGAAGGCCACATTGCTTAGCATAATAGAGGCCCTGAGTTCAATCCCAATCACCATAAAGAGAAGAAAGACAATGAGCTACATTTTAAACAGTTCTAAGTGCTTGAGCCTCACACCCAGAGGGAAGGTTCTGGCTTGTCCTGGGAATGACTCAGGCAGCTAGTGTATAACCAGCCTAGAAAGTACTTGGTATCGATAATTTATAGGTGTCTTGTAATATTTAACTCGATTTCTGAGTATCTGCCTGTTAATACTTTGCTTCTAGATTTGTGTCTATACATTCTTACTTTTTAAAAGATTTTTATTTTATGTGTATGAATGTTTCTGCCTGCATGTAAGAACATCATCAGTATGCAGTGCCTGTGAAGGCCAAAAGAGGGTCTCAGGTCCCCTGGAACTGTTAGTCCACTCCCAAGTCTATGCAGACAACTGAACCTGACTCCTCTTCCTCCAGTCACTTCTCCTGGAGTCACTTCTCCAGCCCAAATTCTTAATTTTTTATCTTGACAAAACTTTTATTTTCATACAAACTCTTTTTAAAAATACTTGGTTTGTTGTATCTTGTCTGACACTTTAACTTATGTTTTGGTTTTCAAGACAGGGTTTCTCTATGTAATAACAGCCCTAGCCATTCTGGAACTTGCTCAGTAGACCAGGCTGGCCTTGAACTCAAAGATCCGCCAGCCTCTGTCTCCCAAGTGCTAGGACTAAAGGTGTGCGCCACCTTCATCTCAAGTATTTTAAAAAGCCATCCATCACCAAGTTAACTTCTCTACCTGTTCTTGTGCTGCCACTGCTATTCACAACTGGAATTGTCTTGATGTCGACAAATACCATACACTTTCAAGTCTTTATTAAAGTACTGTTGAACATAAATAAGTTCTTAGCCCATCTTTTTGTTATTGACCAAGATTAAGCAGTAATGTTTTACTTTACTTTTAGAAATGATCCAATCTTTTATCATCAATGACAAATGGTTATGGATTGCTGTCCTTGTATTGATTGTTAAGATCTCAGGCTTTTTCCTCATGTTCTTGTGTTTTAGTTGCCATGGCGCAAGAATTAGCTGAAGAAAGGCGACGAAAACGTGGTATGGATTCTTCTGCAGTTGCAAATAAGAGATCATCATGTCCACCTGGTATACTTTCAACAATATTCTGATGTATCAGTGCTGTAGCTTTAAAATCTGATGTCATACTAATGGGCAATTATTCTTTTGTAGTCTTAGATGGTTCTGTCCTTAAAAATGATGTCAAACAGCAGCTAGCCAAAGAACGTAGAGAAGAACAGAAACGTCAGCAAGAAGGTATGCATGTTAGACAGTGCTAGCTATGGATAGCTCATATTTTTCTGACTTGGCTTTAGTCACTTTGCTTAATCTACTTATATGATAGATTATAATTTTTACTACATAAAATATTTAAATTAAGTCCATTTACTAAAACACCAAGAAGGCCCCTGAAGAACCTGTAACCAATTTATTTTTGTTGAAGGAGTGGTTTAAGTTAGCTTCAGCCATTGGAAATTGAATTCTGGGACTTTTCTTTGACAGTGGTGGAAACAAGCAGATTGAGATTTCAGTAAAAATGGGACTTGGTATAAATTAAAACTTTCTCCAACTTGGGTACAGGCTTTGCAACTATATGTATTTCTTCTTTGATCTAAATCAACTGACAAATGCTCAAATTTATTTGAGTGGAATATTATAAGTGATTGCTTTCATGGTAGTGGGAGAAATAGTCATGTGTTAGGAAGAACATTTTATGACTGCATAGGTATGAATCCTCTGGTTGCAGTCAGAAAATATGACTAGTAAAACAAACTCTTCCATCATTGGGTAGACTTTGAAGTCTATTCACATAACACAAGAAAACATGTCTTCCTTCTTTGGAATTTTAGTTTGGATAGACCAAGAGTCATCTGGCTTAGGCATGCCAGTTCTTTTTTTTTTTAAGATTTTATTTATTTAATGCATATGAGTACACAGTAGCTGTCTTCAGACACACCAGAAGAGGGCATCAGATTCCATTACAGATGGTTGTGAGCCACCATGTGGTTGCTGGGAATCGAACTCAGGACCTTTGGAAGAGCAATCAGTGCACTTAACCACCGAGCCATCTCTTCAGCCCAGCATGCCAGTTCTTGACCATTCAGTGAACACCTTGTGAAAAGTGGTTCCTTAGTGCCCAAATATGTTTTCACATATATGAACTGTACATGTTATTTAGTAGACCAGGTTATGTTGTCTTAAGAATGATAAGAAGACAAAGTAACATTTTTTTCCTTCTATGTATATAATGTGGAAAACTTTTCTTGGCTTTAACACCATGAATATGTGCTTGGAACATTTCAGCCAACAAGGAAAAACAACTACTTGAGAAAGAACAGAAGGCGAAGCTGCAGTACGAAAAACAGTTGGAAGAAAAACACCGCAAGCTGAAGGAACAAAAGGAAAAGGACGAACGAAGACGAGCATCTGCAGAAGAAAAAAGAAAACAGAAGCAGGCGGAAGACAAAGTATGCCACGTTAGAATCTGTCCGTTTAGTGTTGGTGTCATGTACATCTTAAATATTGTTTAGTCATTTTCTGTGTTTACTGACCCTGTAGAAAGGAAGGGAAAAATCTCAACTCTTACTATTTTCTTACATTTTCCTTACCCTCAGCCCAAGTCCTTAAACACTAACTTCTGGGAGGAAAGAGGAAGCTTGAAGGTCCAAACACTGAACCCTGTTGGCCTTCAGAATGCAACTCACAGTGTACATTGGTTTGGGCTTAGCTCAGAACTATTCTCTATCACCTGTAGAAAGATGCCAAACCCAGCATCCCACCTCTCTGATAGAGCCCATCTAGCAGGCTGATTTCTCCCAACTTACTCGATCTTGTGACTCCCTGAGAGACTATGAACCATTAAAGACAGTTTGAGAAGCAGCAAACATAAATTAGGAAACAATACAGAGTGACTGAGTGAGGCTCTCTGGTGGACAACATCTGTCCAAGACAGTTCCAGTGTAGTAAAAGGGGAAGTTGAGAGAGAAAACACAGAACAGAAGCAAATGTCAGTGTAGACAGAAAGGGAACCAGAAAGATGGCAGGAGAAAAAGAAAGGCTAGAGGAATTCAACACCGAAGAACTACTGGGGGCTAAGCATAGGCAAAACCTAGTACATGGCCATTGTAAGGAAACTAATATGTTTCTCGTTGGCCTAAGAGGAACAGGCGGCTACTATAAAGATGCTGTTGTTATATAACAGTTGCTGTTAGGAAACAGAAAACCCCTGGCCCAAAAGTTGATTTTCTCACTGGAACATAATCCATGGTATATTATAATATAGTGATAATACACCCCAGAGCAAAGAACTCATTTCTAAACAGATACGTGTTCTATCACACTATGACATGTGATTTGTGTGGCTGTTATCTTGACCAGTTCAGGCTGCAGGTGAGGTCAATATAAACACATTGCTTGCCTTAAAAACAATTCTTACTTAGCACCAGGAGTTAAACTGTAATAGGTATGAACATAATAGATAGCTAACTTTGACTTCTGGGCATGTTACCTTTTCCTCTATCTTTCCACAAAAGATAAGGCAATTACAAAATATATCAATCCCAAATGGTAAAATAAATGGTTAAAGGAATCAAGCAGAAATGAAAATTGAGGGAGGCAAACATAGTGATGTAGAACACTGATTAGTATGCATGGAAGGACACCACCCATTCTTTGTCCAGTTGCTTGTGAACTTTGGCTCCAAGTTTTCTAATGATAAAAGTGAGAAAAGAAACATTGTCAATTCCTTGACATAGCAGCCAGAAAATAAAAATGAGTTATTTGGGGATGGCACAGATGTTCATTAATGAAATTGAAACTTGCCTCCAAGTGTTTTAAACTTTTACCTACTTGAAAAAGAAATGTGGCGATGGAGTTAGTTTTAGAAAAAATTTAAACAATGACTTTAAATTGTGGTAATCTAATAACCATATAAAATGGTCTGGAACTTTTTTTAAAATAGAAAAAATTCAAGGCTGTTGTGTCTCGTACAATGGAGCGATGCAATCGTATTGATCAACGACAGAAAAGGTGGTCGTGGGAGGGCGGTGCGATGAATAATGACAAATCTGGTAAGTAATATAGTTGTTAGACTTAAATTTGTTAGTGTCCATTGTTCACTGTCAGTTATTGGAAGAAGACTGTATGCAGCATGAACTATTTTCACGTGCTAAATGAAAACATGATACAGAGTAAACTTGTATCACCTGCCAAATCCGAACCAATCCAATAATGGATTTTAATTCAGAATACACTAAACTTCATTTAAATTTACATTAAGCACAAAAATGATGAATACTTAAATTGGTTTTGTTTTTTGTTTTCAATAAACTAAGTACAAGGCTGGAGAAATAGCTTAGTCAGTAAAGCACTTGTCTTGCAAGCTATAGGACCTGAGTTTGCTTCCTAGAATCCACTTAAAAATAATTCAGCTGTGGTAGTATAAACTCACAATTCTAGCACTGCAAAGGCAGTGGCTGATTCGTAAGAGCTCTTGTCTCTATCATTTCTTGAAGTATGCTGGTGAAAAAGTGCATGACTTGACTGACTTACATGGGCTTACACCTATGGTCATCACATTATCAATCCAAAGAATTTTCACTTGACATAAGAGTGTTAATGTGTACTTTATTTTACAAGTCTCAAAGAAAAAAAAGAATTAAAGAATTCTTGTTTAAATGACTACCCCTCAGTATCCTAAGCTAGAATATTTCAGACAAAATGGAAAGTATTTGCCGGGCGGTGGTGGTGCATGCCTTTAATCCCAGCACTTGGGAGACAGAGGCAGGCGGATTTCTGAGTTTGAGGCCGGCCTGGTCTACAGAGTGAGTTCCAGGACAGTCAGGACTACACAGAGAAACCCGGTCTCAAACCCCCTCCCCCCCCAAAAAAAAGGGAAGTTTTCACACAAAGCCAATTGTTCTCTTAGAGTTTTGTTACCTTATGACATCTATAGCAAATATAAGGGGGTTTTTTGGTTTAAAAATAGTCATAATTAAATTATCCATTATTCTTAGACATCATCATGAATGGTTTTATTAAAGGTTATGTTTTCTTAATTTAGGAAGATTCCTGTTGTCAAAATTAGATATTTTCCATATTAAATTTTTACAATTACTGTTTTGTTTTGAGACAAGGTTTCTTTGTGTAGCCCTGGCTGTCCTGGAACTCCCTCTGTAGACCAGGCTGGTCTCACATTCACAGAGATCCTCCTGCCTCCTGCTACCACCTGGCTAATTATTTTCATCATTTTCTAAGTAAATTTATTCTCACTTCAAATAAGATAATGAGCAAATAACTCTAAAGTTTAGGGTTGTAAGCTACATAATATTTGAAGTTAAATAATTCTCTGAAGCAAGATTTGAAAAGATTTTTAAACTGCTTAATAAAATGAGTTGCTCCTGAAATCTTAAGTAGTTTCTAGAAAAGTAATATTTCTTTGCACTTGGTGTTTAGGAAAACCAGAAAATAAACGAAGCTCCTCTCTGAGTAGAAAAGACAACCGATTACAACACGGTGGTTATACGCAACAAGTGAACGTGAACGACACACCCGGTGAGCAGTTATTTCTAAGTATAGATCTTAAATACTGGTTTAAAGACGTGCAAGAGGGGTTGGAGAGATGGCTCTGACTGCTCTTCTGGAGGTCCTGAGTTCAATTCCCAGCAACCACATGGTGGCTCACAATCATCTGTAATGGGATCTGATGCCCTCTTCTGGTGTGTCTGAAGACAGCTACAGTGTACTCACATAATAGATAGATAGATAGATAGATAGATAGATAGATAGATAGATAGATA